GTAATATTTTTTGGGTGATTAGTGCATTCCAGTGACATAAACGTACAGTTTACAGAGCAACGGCAAGCTGCAATTGACCGATTGTGCTAAATAAACTGACTTTCTGCTTCACAACCACTATTGTACGTTCAAAGAGTTAAATCCGGTTTTATTTTTGGGGTGCTTATTGAATTAAAGAGTATGTCAGACAACACGCAGAGGAGTGGCAGAGGAGGCAATGTTTCAGGAGCGAGCAGACGTGGCAGCAGAGGGAAGGGGTCGAGGCAGCACTAGTCGCAGCCAGAGGCCAGTGCTCCCGGTGTCATCCAGCGGTCGTGTCTCCACCGACAACCCTGCCGTCATCGATTGGTTGACTCGGTCGTCTTCCTCTTCCCAGGTCACCTCTGACACCTACAGCCAACGGTCGGTGGGTACGTCAGACACAACCGTTAGTTGGCATGGCCCGGGAGCAAGCCCACTGAAATCACGTGTCCTCGACCTGCCCCTGTCCTTTGGTGTTCCCTCACCAAGCGAAGTATCGCATGCTGTGGGCTCAGCCCCACTGTACAGTGAGGAAGAGCTAACAGAGGGCGGTCAGGAACGGGGGAGACATCCGCCTCTTCAGCAGCCAGGCGAAGAAGTACTGGCGAGGAGAGTGGCTCGGTAGCCGGTCTAGAGACAGGTCTGTCTCCTGACCCACACGCAGCCGAGGGGGCTAGTAGTGACGCGGAGACCCTAATTGATGATGATGAGAGCTGATCGCACTTGGCAGCCTCGTCGTCATCAGGCTATTGCTTCCGCATCATCAGGAGAAGAGGGTGCCAGCTTGCCAGCGAGCAAAACAGTCAGTGGGTTGCCCAGGAGGCAGCAGGGTCGCAGCATGTCAGTGGAGCCAAACGGCCACGGAGTAGAGCACCAGCTCCACTGCAGCCTACCACCACGGCCAGTAGTGGTGCCGGTGTGCACGGAGGAAGTAGCAGTCAGCCAGTGAGGAGTAGCGGGGGCAAAGTTTCCTACTCGGGTGTGGCAAATTTTTTCGTCAAGCCGCCCGAGGAAGTAAACGTAGCCGTATGTCGACTATGTGGCCAGAAAGTCAAGCGTGGCCAGGGGGCCAATGTTGGGACTACAGCGTTGCGTCAGCATATGCAGCGTTGCCATTCGGTGGCCTGGGAAAACCGTGATAAAGATACGGCGGTTCTGCCTGCCCCAGCCCCCGCTCCATCACCCGCTCCGTTACTTGCTCCGTCACCCGACGTCAATCGCCCTCTATCAGCCAGTCAAGGCTCCAACACCTCTGCTGAGGGGAGTTGTCGCTCGTTGGCATCTTCCGCTCGTTCAGATGCTCCTTCTCCTGCTACTCCTCTTCACGGATTCCGTCAGCAGTCTTTCTTGGAATCCGTTTCCAAGAGACAACAGTTTGCGAGCACGCACCCGACGGTGCCAGAAGCTGAACGTCCTCCTGTCCAAGTTGCTGGTGCTGCAGTCCCTCCCTTTCCAAGTGGTGGACTCAGCACCTTTCCGAGAAATGATGGCTTGTGCCGAGCCGCGGTGGAGAGTGCCAAGCCGGCATTTCTTCGCCAAAAAGGCAGTGCCAGCCCTGCATTCACATGTAGAAGAGATGGTGGGCCAGTCTTTGAGCATGTCGGTCTCTGCCAAAGTGCACGGCAGCGCCGACGTGTGGAGCTGTAACTACGGTCAGGGACAGTACATGTCATTTACGGCCCACTGGGTGAACGTGGTGCCGGCACAGCCGCACCAGCAACTTGGACAGGTCACGCCGCTTTTGCCTCCACGTTTGCACGTCCTTGGTCCAGCAAAGATGTCCGCCTCTACCACCTCTTCTTCCGCCCGTGTCCTCAGCCGCCACCCCCCCGTGCCAAGTCCCATTACCCGACCGGCATATCACATGTGCAGGGCGCAACGGTGTCACGCTGTGCTGCACCTGGTATGCCTTGGCGAACGTAGTCACACAGGGGAGGAACTTCTGAGTGTAATGAACAGAGAAATCGACAGATGGCTGTCTCCGCGCAAACTGAAAATCGGAACCATGTTGACCGACAACGGAAAGAACATGGTGTCTGCTCTGCGTCAAGGAAGGTTGTGCCATGCGCCATGCATGGCTCACGTGTTCAATCTGGTTGTCAAGCGGTTCCTAAAATCCACCATCCCACTGCAAGACATCCTTAAAATGTCACGTAAACTTTGCATGCATTTTCAGCCATTCCTACACCGCAAAGCACACCCTCCTTGAGCTGCAGCGGCAGAACGGAATTCCACAGCATCGCCTGATCTGCGACGTTGCAACAAGGTGGAATTCAACCCTACATATGTTAGACCGCCTTTACGAACAGCGAAAGGCCATCACCGATTTCCTGATGTTACAAGCGGATAAAGGTACTCCCCTGTGTAACTTCGATGTCAGCCATTGGCAGCTCATGCGTGACACCTGCCGCTTGCTCAGGCCCTTTGAGGAGGCCACGCTATTCGTGAGTCGGCAGGACTATGGGATGAACGACGTCATTCCTCTGTTGCACGTCCTGGAACAAATGCTGTTAACAATGGCTGGTCAGGGTGCGGTAGACGTGGCGCACAGATCTCAACGCCACATGACCCCTGTGGGGGCAGGACAGGAAGAAGAGGAGGAGGTAGAGGAGGACATTGGGTGCTCAGGAATTATTGAGTGAAATGGTGGTTTTTCCACTCAGCGGACAGGAGTGGAGGAGCAGGAGCATCTGGTAGAGGAGGAGGAGGAGACAGAGGACCCAGACGCACCGTGGCAGTATGCTGTGGGAGATGGAGGCAGGGAGTCCCTCGCATTCCTTGGCACAAATGGCCCATAGCATGCTCGGTTGCTTGCGTAGCGACAGCCGAATAATAACCATCAGACAGAGGGATGACTTTTGGCTGTCCACCTTGTTTGGACCCTCGCGCTACCGTTCAAAAATGGTGGCCTTTTTCACACCTGCTGAGAGGGAGGCCAAAATAAAGTACTATAAAAACCACCTATGTAGTCAGTTGGTCTCTGCCTTTCTGCGCCAACGTCCATCCTCAGACACTGTGGGCCCTGTGCGCTCGCGTTCCGCTGCCATGGCAGCAGGGGGGGGTGGGGTGGTAGGAGCAGTGGCAGCTCCACCAGCAGCGGCTGCCTCAGTCTGCAGTCGATGATGAGTAGCTTTCTTCACCAGCGCAGTGAGGAAACTACTAACCAGCCGCAGCAGCAGCAGCATCAGGTGGACCTGGAGCAGGACCTCAAACAACAGGCTTGGGCCTACTTGGACAGCACCCTGCCAACCGAGGTAGACAATCCCCTTGACTACTGGGCAACGAAACTTGACCTTTGGCCCCAACTAGCTGAATTTGCCCTTGAAAGGCTGTCATGCCCGGCAGTAGCGTGGCATCGGAGCGCGTGTTTTTAGTGCGGCAGGAGGTATTGTAACTCCGCGGAGGACACGACTGTCCACCCAAAGTGTGGAGAGACTCACGTTTGTGAAAATGAATCAGGCGTGGATTAGTCTGGATTTCAAACCACCAGTTCCTGACACAACTGACTAAATCCGCCATGAATCATGCCCCAAACATGTTATTAGGGACAAATGGAAGACCCTCCACCTGATCCGTACATTTGTATATATATTTTATTGAGAGGCTGCTGGTCGGCCGACTCATGTTTTGCACATTTTTAATGACTTATACTCTGCAGGTCGGGCCCCCTCATGAATTGGTGTTTTTTAAATTATTTATACTTCGCTGGACGACCGTCACATGAATTGAACCTTTTTAATGACTTATACTCTGCTGGTCGGGCCCCTCATGAATTGGTGTTTTTAAATTATTTATACGTCGTTGCTGGACGACTGTCACATGAATTTAAACTTTTGAATTATTTATAGTCGACCAGCTCCAGACCGATGGAATAGCAATTTTTTTAAATATTTATTTGACACGTGTTGTCCATCTCATCAATGAGGTGGACTGTTTATTTATTGGCCACGGTTGGCCCCCTCCTGTTTCTTACATTGTTAACTTGTTGTATCGGTCACGGTTTGCTGGCCACATGTTTTTGTTGTCTTGTTAAGATTTTCTGTAATGTACACAGTTACGCTTGACTTGTCGACTTTCCACAATCTACTAAGGTATAGCATCGCATCAAAGTTTTTTTTTTTTTTTTTTGGTCTAAACCATTTCTTATAGATGTCAATTTGTAGGATACGCCGCTGTAAGGCGACCTACTTTTTTGTCACTGTGTAGACATCTATTTATAGGCCGATGTTTTGGCCAGAAAGATATATTTAGTAATAACCTAGCCGTTCAAGCCGCTCACTGAACACCTCGGGAATTGCTTTGTATATCTGTCGCCTTAGGGGCCGCTGTCTGGCGACATAATTTTTTGTCACTGTGTAGACATCTATTTATAGGCCGATGTTTTGGCCACAAAAATTATATTTTAGTAATATACCTAGCCGTTCAGGCCCGCTCCCTGAACACCTCGGGAATTGCTTTGTATATCTGTCGCCTTAGAGGCCGCTGTCTGAACAGCTCATGAATTGCTTTCTATATATGTGTCGCCTTTGAGGCCGCTGGCTGGACAGCTGATGAATTGATTTGTATATATGTACTTATTGTCCGCTGTCCGGACAGCTCATGAATTACTTTTTGTATATAGCCTTCCAAACCACTCTCAGAATAAGTCATGATATTCATGCTGTGTATAGCCTTATAGGCCAATGGTCAATCAAGTCATGATTGTTATAGTGTGTATAGCCTTATAGGCCGCTGTCTTTACAACTTTATAATTCCATGCAGTATATAGCCCTATCGGCCACTTTCTGGCATCCAGTTGCTGTAGCCCCCATCACCACACTGTGCCACGGGCCCCTGTGTACCGCCTTCTCATACTGCTGCCAGATCCATCCTCTGCCATGTGCGTCTTTGTCGTCTGCTCACGCTGCTGGGGTTCCAGTTTTAAACCTAGGCCTGTGTATGGCTTCCGAATACTGCTGCCTCCACCGCCACCCTGCGCCATGTGCCTCTGTCGTCTGCTCACGCTGCTGATGGCTTCCGCTTTTTAACCTAGGCCTGTGTATGGCTTCCGAATACTGCTGCTGCCTCCACCGCCACCCTGCGCCATGTGCCTCTGTCGTCTGCTCACGCTGCTGACGGCTTCCGCTTTTTAAACTAGTCCTGTGTATGTCTTCCGAATACTGCTGCCTCCACCGCCACCCTGCGCCATGTGCCACTTTCGGGTCTCCTCACACTGCTGCCAGGTCCATACTGATTCATGGCCCCCTGTACCGGCTCCTCATGAACGTGGTTCAGCAGGTTTGCATCACTTAACGGCAAATCGTTGACAAATGCTGGGACGTTCAGTGTTGTGCGCATTAAGCCAGACACCAAAGGGCAGCACAGACCTGTTATTACTTATCGCTCAAGCATGGCTGAACAAAACCAGTCTCTACCACAAATTGGACCCAGACCTGCCCAGGGTCTCGTAACTAGATTGCACGGAGGAGTAGAGTCCGTTATCGGAATTAAATAGACAAAACGCCACACCAAAAAGAGTGGCCATTTCCAACACTTATTCCAGAAAGAGGAACAACCCGTTTCATATACGCCCGTAGACGTTTCACGTCTGCCACATTCAGTCGATTTAAGACGCAAGCTCCACTTCCTGTGGTCTCTGACCGTCGATATACCTTTAAGTGTCAGCTTTGAAGCTATATTCCCTCCGGAGCACTGACACTGGTGCCCTTCCGTCAACATGCCTTTAAGTTTCAGTTTTCAACCATATTCCCCACAGAAGCCAAACTCTTGGGTATCCCAGAAGCTGCTCAGCGGGTCAGGGCAATAAAGCTCCCGGTTCGCAGGTTGTTCCGTCTTATGGATGGAAGTACGACGGTATATGATCTTCTTCGCACCCACGGCATTACCTCATAAAAATTTCTGCATTGCATCTGCAATCACAACGCTGACTTCCCGGATCGCCACTCAGCCATTGGACTCTTGATAGTCGTCTCCCCACACTGCTGCTGGGGGGACTTTTTAACCTAGGCCTGTGTATGGCCTTCAATTGAAGCTGCTTCCGCTCCGCCACTCTGCCATTGGACTCTTGATAGTCGTCTCCCCACGCTGCTGCTGGGGGGGACTTTTTAAACATAGGCCTCTGTATGGCCTTTAATTGAAGCTGCTTACGCTCCGCCACTCTGCCATGGGCCTCTTGGGTATCCCAGAAGCTGCTCAGCGGGTCAGGGCAATAAAGCTCCCAGTTACGGTTCGCAGGTTGTTCCGTCTTATGGATGGAAGTACGACGGTAATAGGTATATGATCTTCTTCGCACCCACGGCATTACTTCGTATAGAATTTCTGCATTGCATCTGCAATCACAACGCTGCTGACTTCCCGGATCGCCACTCAGCCATTGGACTCTTGATAGTCGTCTCCCCACACTGCTGCTGGGGGGACTTTTTTAACCTAGGCCTGTGTATGGCCTTCAATTGAAGCTGCTTCCGCTCCGCCACTCTGCCATTGGACTCTTGATAGTCTCTCTCCCCACGCTGCTGCTGGGGGGACTTTTTAACCTAGGCCTGTGTATGGCCTTCAATTGAAGCTGCTTCTGCTCTGCCACTCTGCCATTGGACTCTTGATAGTCGTCTCCCCACACTGCTGCTGGGGGGACTTTTTAACATAGGCCTCTGTATGGCCTTCAATTTAAGCTGCTTACGCTTCGCCACTCTGCCATGGGCCCCCTGTACCGCCTCCTCTTGCTGCTGCCAGGTCCAGAGTGTGTCATGGGTCCCTGTACGGCCTCCCATTGCTGCTGACTTCATCGCCAGACTCTGCCATGTGCCACTTTCAGGTCTCCTTACACTGTTGGTGGGTTCCATTTTGTGATAGGGTGTGCTGTATGGCCTTCCATTGCTGCTGCCTCCACCGCCACCCTGCGCCATGTGCCTCTGTCGTCTGCTCACGCTGCTGACGGCTTCCGCTTTTTAACCGAGGCCTGTGTTTGGCTTCCGAATACTGCTGCATCCACTGCCACCCTGCGCCATGTGTCTCTGTCGTCTGCTCACGCTGCTGACGGCTTCCGCTTTTTTAACCTAGGCCTGTGTATGGCTTCAGAATAATGCTGCCTACACCGCCACCCTGCGCCATGTGCCTCTGTCGTCTGCTCACGCTGCTGCCAGGTCCATACTGATTCATGGCCCCCTGTACCGGCTCCTCATGAACGTGGTTCAGCGGGTTTGCATCACTTAACGGCAAATCGTTGACAAACGCTGGGACGTTCAGTGTTGTGCACATTAAGCCAGACACCAAAGGGCAGCACAGACCTGTTATTACTCGCTCAAGCATGGCTGAACAAAACCAGTCTCTACCACAAATTGGACCCAGACCTGCCCAGGGTCTCGTAAGTAGATTGCACGGAGGAGTAGAGTTCGTTATTGGAATTAACTGTGAGGGACTTTTAAACCTAGGCCTGTGTATGGCCTTCAATTGAAGCTGCTTCTGCTCCGCCACTCTGCCATTGGACTCTTGATAGTCGTCTCCCCACGCTGCTGCTGGGGGGACTTTTTAACATAGGCCTCTGTATGGCCTTCAATTTTAGCTGCTTACGCTCCGCCACTCTGCCATGGGCCCCTGTACCGCCTCCTCATGCTGCTGCCAGGCCCGTAATCTGCCATGGGCCCCCGTACCGACTCCTCATGCTGCTGCCAGGCCCGTAATCTGTCATGGGCCCCTGTGTACCGCCTCCTCATGCTGCTGCCAGGTCCAGAGTGTGTCATGGGTCCCTGTACGGCCTCCCATTGCTGCTGTCTCCATCGCCACACTCTGCCATGTGCCACTTTCAGGTCTCCTCACACTGCTGGTGGGTTCCATTTTGTCATAGGGTGCTGTATGGCCTCCCATTGCTGCTGCCTCCACCGCCACACTGTGGCTCCACACTCTGGTTTTGGCCCCGTGACTGCCCAAATGAGTGAAGTGTGCGGTGATTCTAAGATCGACGGCACTCATCTGCATGTCATACTGACTGACAGTATTATTTCTCTTCCCCAGCAGACTCCAAGGGCATTTAAATTAAAGGTACAGTGTTCTGCACTAATATAAAGGCTCTCTGAAGCCTAGAAACACCCTTTTTATAAGTTAAATTCGCAGCGAATATATTCGGCTCGAAGCAAATTTATTCCGCGAATTCGGCGAATCAGCCGAACCGAATTTTTGAATAATTCGCTCATCTCTAATCATAAGCTTAATAATGGCATGCAATGCCAAGCTGCGGTTTCTAAAGCGAGCAAAATCCTCTCTTGTATTAAAAGAGGTATATAGACTCCAGAGAGAGAGATATAATTTATTCCTGTACAAATCATTAGTAACACCTCATCTGGATATATGCAGTTCAGTTTCGGGCATCAGCTCATAAAAAGGATATCGGGGAACTGCAGAAAGTGCAGAGGAGGGCAACCAAACTGATAAAAGGCATGGTGGAGCACAGCTATGAGGAAAGATTAGAGGAACTGAATTTATTCTCTCTTGAGAAGAAGAGATTAGGAGGGATCTGATCAACATGTATAAATACATAGGTGGTCCATCTAGTGAACTTGGTGTAGAGTTATTCACTTTAAGGTCATCACAGAGGACAAGGGGGCACGCTTTATGTCTGGAGAAAAAGAGATTTATTTTCAAATACGGAAAGGCCTTTTCACAGTAAAAGCTGTGAAAATGTGGAACAGACTCCCTCAGGAGCTGGTTCTGGCCATTTCAGTAGATTGCTTTAAAAAAGACCTGAATTCTTTCCTAAATGCACATGTAGCACTACTCCCCTTAAGGGTTGCTTAGTAATTTTTGGGTTTCCTGTCAATCTGAAACCTCTTGTTGTAAGCCCAACCTCTGCTGACAGCACCATGCTCTCATGACCAAAGTAAATCACAACTGTAAAATGGACTTACACACAAGTTAGGATAAACCAATATGAAGTTTATATTGGAATTAAAGGTAACTAGGTCAAAAAGAACAAAATTACACTAAAATATGCAGCAAAATATAATCACTCCTGGTAATTGTGAGCAAAAATAAAGACGTTCACCATAAAGCAACAATAACTGTAAGCAGCCTGCTTTCAGAAATAATACATTGCCTCCAATCTGAAGGGATTGATGAATCCCCAGTGAGTAGAAAACAACTATGAAGAAACAAGTAAGCTCACTGTGTGTCCTCAGATCTAGATAACAAGGATTAAATGTGAAGGAAAGAGAATTCTCATTTGAAATTGGGCACTGTGCCTTTAAGGACACTACAATGTCTTCTGCACGCTTGTTGGGGCCCAGTTGAGTTGAGGTGTGGAATATAGTTACTTGGGATGGTAACACAAAGATAGTGAAGTAACAATGGAGATTTAACACTCTTCCTCCTGATGGGCTGGGTCCCCTTTAAAAGCACTAAACATGGGGGAGGCTTGAAGTAATGAATAGAAACAATTGGCATACAGTAAATATCTATAGGCAAAGACAGCTCACTTTGTACATCATAGGCAAAAATAAACAGTAATGGGAATCCTGCTTTGTTGAAGAAGGGAAACTTGTTGTTTCAGTTTTTTTAATGTTCATAACTATGTGTAGGTAATTAGCTAAGGTGGCAAACTGTCAGTAGTCATTTGGTTAGTGGGTGCATAGGTCTCTCTCACCTGATCAAAGTAGTTTGGCAGATTGGGTATCAGTAGGCTCATTCTGCTCTTCCTCTCTCTCCAACCCTGGCTCTGTGG